CATAAAGTAATGTTAAGGTTTGAGAAGTTACGCAGCTTTTGTATTACTATGCCACCTCAGAAAGTAAATTAAACTCAAGTCAGCTTCTGGCTTAAAATGTGCCATTGTTTTAGAAAGTTTAGGAATCCAGGTTTACTGTCTTTTAATCAACATTGTCGCAATTAATTTTTCTTAGTAAGATTTAAGATAGTCAAGAGTTTTCCCACACCTCTGCCCCTATTTACAGAATATTGATCTCTAAATCAATGTGTTTCTGTGATTTGTTTCATCTTGTTTTATATTTTCAACAGTTTGTTAATTTATATGACCATTTACTGCTAATTCCAACCCCTTACATGCTTACTGGTCTCCCTGTAAGTGTTTTATTGCAGAACCACACCATTTCTACCCAAGTATAAGCTGCTGTTTTGTCATGACCAAAAATGTATTCATCTCCTAAAGTTTGTTTCTCAGTATTTCAGCCATTTTATGTTTTCCAGTTTCCCTTTGCAAGGAGTTAAATGAGAGTAAAAGCAGAATATTCTGCAAAGTAACCTGCATTACTTCAGAAGGAGCTAAACAATTAATAAAATTACAATATTTCTCTCAATTTAATTATGCCAACTCCTACAACTGCATAGTAGGACTAATTAAAAACCACATTTTACACCATTTTATAAATTTCAGCTTCCATGCAGTAAAACTTTGCTTCCAATAACTTGTATTGCTTCTTGGATCGATTTTTACTGTCCTTTATACCCACAACTGCTGTAGATCACAGTGACTCAAAGCCTAGGGAGAGTATTGAGGACTGAAAAGAGAGGCTACTAAGGAAAAAGGTGGGTTAATTGTAATTAATATCATGCTGCAAAATCCAGCAACAATATTTAAATGCCCCACTTCCCTAACGTAGTGCAGCTCTACTGCAAAAGTGTAATTATCATTATCATACATTTACTCTTGTATTCTGTGTCACTACTAAATCAATGTTTTAACTCATTCTTTCATTGCCAGACATCAGCTTGCATCTGATTTCAGCCCACCCACCTATTAGCCCCAGGGAAAATAAAAACCTAATTTTAATATCTGAGCAAGTCCATCACCTGTCACACAGTCCCCTAGACTCCATTTCCATCCGCGTTCCCATTAAACACACACATCCCCGGAGTCTCTAATGTCCACAGAGACGCTCTGCAGCAGCAACACCGAAGCATTTTCAGGTCAAACAATGAGAATAATAAAAAAAAAACACCAAATGTGTTCATGACAAATTGAGTTCAGTGAGGTTTGTCGCCTCACTATTTCTGAGCTGAACAGATGGCCTGGGGGCACTGCAGTGGCAAACACACACACTCTGACCAAAACACAGCGTTCAGGTACACTATGTTGCTGGCAAACACTCTACTTAAACCAAAAAGTGTGTTATTCTCCAAGTCTAAAGGTAACTCGTAGCTCTCTCTCAAGGCCTCCTTATTGGGTGGGAAGTGTTAAGTGTGGAATAAATCACAGCATTCCAAGCCCAAATATAGTCATGAAGAAAAACTCAGTGGGGATCCTCTTCGGATTAATAAGCAGGGTCGGAATAAAAAGTGACATCAAAGTTTTGAAGCTGATAGATTCTGAGTTCTAAAGGCAAAAACTGCGATTGTCTCAGCTTATGTTTAAAAATATTTGCTTACAGGAACTGGATCTCAGTGAAATCAAGTCAAGCAGACCATCTGGAGACGACCCCAACTCTGAATCACAATGGATGCGCATTGCTTTTAATGGGTGAGAAATCTTCCTATTGCTTTGTGGGTGATCCACAAACATTAACATGACAGTCAGTTGAAATCTGAGACTGGTTAAGGTTTGTTTCAAGGCTTTTTCAATTTCAAACCTAGTATATAAAAAAAAAGGTTCCATCTCTTTGCGTAAGACCCTCTGTGCTTTAATAAAATCTGTGATCCTGAGGACATTCAAAGTGCTTTTATTAGAAAACTTTATCTTTGAGGTGTGATCACGTATGGCTGTGAGGCATTTAGATAAATGGACAGAAACACCAAAGCCAGATCATTTCCCCTTCGTGTTAGGAGAACTGATGTTCCTATGACACTGTATGAAGTGGTGCGTGTAAAGAAAACTCTGCAGTTCCCAGGTTACAGTGTGATTTGCCACATTTGTCACAAATCAATTTGATCAAAAGAATCTGAATTGTTTGTCAGTGAAATTGAAAACTCAACTGCCCTCTAAACCATATCAGTATTTTAAAAAAATAGCCTCATCTTCAGTTTTGCTACATACGCAGCCTTCGGGGCTCTGCTCAAACATACCGTCTTCAGTTTAAGATAACCACTTTTAATTTCAGCTGTATAGACAGATACAGCTAGTGAAGTGTATCTGATTGCTGACATAACAGAACACGGAGTCAGAAAAATGCCTTTAAGCGGCGTTTAACAACTCTCCTGATGGAATCAAGTGGAATGATGTTTCTATTCCTGCAGAAAATAACCTAATGTAAAAGTTGTTTTGCATATCTAACATTAACTATATCAGTGCGTCTTTGCCTGTTCTTTGAAGCGAGATAAAAGAGGAGAATGAAATGATTACTTTAATTGTTCCGCACCGCTCAAAAATCAAATAATCTTTATGAAGCCCAAAAGAAACCTATTTCCTGCAGACTTGTGAGACATGAGGCTTCAGCATTGCACTCTGCAGCAGCGACTGAACGAACATAAAGTAGGTGCCATTCAAGGAGAACTTGACAGATATATTGATCCACCCAGAAAACCCAAACTGCAGGTGCCCTGCGGTGGCAACCATGATTACCACAGAGGCTTTTGTTTCTGCCACTATGTCATAGCAGCTTACCTTCCTGGAAAACACTGCAGTGAGTAGCTTGTCATGCGGCGCGTTACCTCAGCTCAGAGCCACAGATGCTCGACCTTAAATTATTTTAAAGGCAATAAAGAGGAAAACTGCTCATGAAATGGCTAAATGGTACACAATATAAATTCAGAACCGGAAGGAAACAGGTAAATTTAGGTAAAGTGGCCAGTAAAACTGACCATTAGGAATGACAGTGCATTGAGTTAAGTAGGAAATCTATCACCAAGTGGGACTTAATGAGCTTGGAAAACGGCTCCACCTGTTCACCAGGTTTGCCTGGCAATAGCACAAAAAATGCTTCTAAGCCCTGATCTCATATGCAACAGATATTCAGAGTAGACATCTTCCAGATTAAAGATGGAGGGTCAAAAACATGGTATGTAAACAGAAATATTACAAAACTGAAAATCTTTACTTCAGATTCCTAAACTACTGTAGAATTTTTTTTACACCATCTGCAAATAACATTTGCAACACTACTAGATATGAAAAATGGAGACAATTCAATTTTTCTTCCAGGAAACCTCCCAGAAAAGCTAAACTCAACCCTGCAGCAACAATAAGTGCAGGCTGTCACTGGACAGGGATCAAGCCTAAAGTCTTCCAGCTCCTGAACCTATCGCACAACACCAGATTGCTGAAAAAGAAAAATGTCTTCTGTTCAGTCAGTGCTGCAGCTCAGAAAAGCCGAGTTTTGATAAACAAGGTGAACGCCAACATGCCAACAGCAGAAAACAAAAATCTGGGAAACAACTGGATGGCAAAGTATTCACAGACAAACATGCTCAAATCTTCATGCAAACTTTTAACTGTATTCCAGGAGAGATGTATCAAGCGTTTCACAAATGTCCTAAAAGAACTTGTCAAAAAAACAAACAAACAAAAAAAAAACATTTAGACCTTTTTGTGGTCTTAAGCTCCTAAACTCAGAATCTTGTGAAGGTTTCCCACAATAAAACCTAGTGTCATTTTGTGAGGCTTTTTCTTCAGGAGGCACAGGGAAGCTGGTCAGAGTTAAATGGCAGATAGATGGAAATAGATTCAGGAGGCATTCATCCTCTTTTCCCCGATACTGCTAAATACAATCCAACCTTTAAAAGTCACCTAAACGGTACAAGCATACCTCAACCTTTGGTATTCTGCTGCGTACACAAGGGCTGGAAATCTGCACTTGCACTTCCTTTCTGTTTTATTTCAGAGCAAATCATCAGACCTGTCTGCAGACAATTTCAGTGCTAAAAGAGGAAAAATATGACTGGACAGAGTGGATATACTGTAGTCCCCAGGTGATTCATTCAGTTCCTAATAGAACAGTTGGGTCTGGGCTTCCTGCCCAGATGTGCTTACTGAGTACATATCATTTTAAAAATAAGGTGGTTATATGATGCATCATCACCAGACACACAATGACAGTAAAACAAGAAAAATGATATCCTCCCAGCCCTGCACTGCACAGTCGTACACGCACACACACACAACATAACCTCTCCGACATCAATGCAATCAAACGTTTAGAAACTATAATTCAACCATATCTCTGATTATACAACCGAGAAAAAAAAAATTACATTAGATGAAAGGTTGTGAGGTGCTCTGACGTTAAAGTACATACGCCGTTATTAGCATCGCTACTGCAGCACAGATACGCTTCAATTTAATAGTCAATGATCCAAGCTGCAATGCATTGCAGCATGCAAGGCTTAACTCACTTTATACTCACCGCTTGCACTGCACAAACAAGAAAATACAGACAAATATAAAAGCATCCTTCCAAGCGCAGCGAAAAAGGAACACGACTGATTCACTTTGTTAAAATGTGATTAGGGGGAGAAAAAAGATTAGTCAATTTGTTTATGCATATTAAGAAGAAAGATGGGCTTCAGAATATAAACAGTCAAATAAAACAAGATTACTTGCTGCTGAATATATTGCTGCTTAACACCTTCAGGGGATTCACTTGAAGGCAACTATGACAAAACAGACCAGGTGGTAAACAGAGTGGAAGTAAATCACTGAGCAATGATTCATGACAAATAATTGTTGCCCTTTATCGCATAACACAAAACAGAAAAATTATTTGACTCAATATTTTTAATACAAGACGGACAGCATCTTCCATCCTTACAGTTTTCTTCTTTAAATTTGAAAAGCCAAAGTAAAAATAAATAAAAAAAAAAAGCTATGTTTTTTTGTCTGAGTAATATTTTCAACTGCATGATTTATGAAAGCGGGAGCCTCAGAATACATCATCAGGGAGAGAATCCTGCCACTTTTAAATACAAATGCCCGCAAAAATGGCCACATGCTGAGGTGGTGATTCATCCATTTGATTCAGTTGCATTGGACCAGATATCCATCTACCAGCCACCAAGTACTGAAGTTTAAAACCCCTGCAGCAACGGGTTGGAGGCCTGAGCATCTGAAACAGAAGCATCCAACACATTCTCAAAGCTTTTGCAGGGAAACAAGCGAGAATTAAATTGCATTACCAAGTGGCCTTCATCTCTGTGCTGTGAAGCAGTCGAGTAACACATACATCTTACTTTTCATGCATTTCAAGAAATGTTTACCTCATTTATCTTTATTTAAGCAAAAAGTTTGAAATGATCAAAGAGCATGTTTGTTTGTGTGAAACATTTAGTCTCCTGAAAACTGGCAGAATAAAACACAAAGGAACATCTAAAAAGAAGAGAGTGTGCCTTCATTGTATAAATCTTCACTTTCAATGGCATCTTTGACATTCTTGAAAATAAAAAAAAGTAAAATCCTATTCCTACTGTTGACTATTGAGACGAAGAATTTAATATTGATAGAACATTTCAACAGATGGTGCTTCTTCACATAGGTTATAGTAAGTTAACCAAGTTTGCATCTGGGTATAAATAAACCTGTCATTACAAATAAACACAATTCAGGTACTCCAAACACAGTCTGCTGCAGTCAAGCTAAGGGCAAAGACCTGAGTGTACTAGTGATGAAAAAAAATGTGCATGGAGCACATTTTCACTCTGGTGTTTTCTATTTATTTAAGAGGAGTAAAATATAATGAAAGTTTTGGCAGCCACCATGGTGGTGATGGATCCAAGTTTAAATACAATGAGACCAGAGGGGATGTCTTGATTATTGAGCAATCCCACTTCTCAACGTTCGTGAGAAAATAAATGTATGCTGAAAATCAGATTACAAATTACTTTCAAAGTTTGGCTCCAGGAGGAACAAGTCATAGATACAGTTGTACAAAGTAAGACGTCTTGTCTGAGAATCTCGAGTTTCAATCCTGGCTTTTGAAGAGATGTTTTTCAAAAGGTTCAAAACGACAAAAGCATTCCCTTTCCTCAATGATGTACAAGTACAGTTACAAATGTGATGCTGTTTGACACAGTAAGAGGTTTTTGTTTTGGTTTAGTGGGGGGACTCCAATTTGCTAGTTGGGATGTGGATTTCACTGCAGGAACCATGTTATCCGTCTTTCCCTCTTATCCATGCTGGGTTGCTCACCTATGGTGAACTTAATATAATCCTCATTATTGATTTTGTCAATGGGAAACTGATGGAGCACATACCCAATGCAAAAACTGTGAAAGTGTAACCATTACCAGAAGGTCCACTGCAATCTTCATTAATCATGTGTAAAACATGAAGAACTGGCCTTGAAGAGTAAAGCACAGAGTTTATCAAAACAAGAACAGATGTAAGACTTAAATGAACGAGTTTCCCTTAAGCCAGTCCAATGGATAGTGACAATTCATTTAAAAAACGGCAGCTAATGTGAATAAATTCACCTCCAGGAAACCCTGAAGTCATTTATAAGTGTTGAACACATCCATTTGTAGCTTTTCCTGTACAAAAGGTTAACAGTAGCAGTGAAAATGCAGAACGTTTCAGGAGATAAGAGCCTGGTCGATATCTGAAGACGGTAATGAATTGCTTATGACATCAGCGTACTAATGTTAGCCTGACTGCTCCTTTCGGCGTCAGTGAAAAGCTTATGACATGCCCCTTTACTTTCCTATTATAACTTCACAAAAACACTAACCGCATGCATTCTGCTTTAGGAATGCTACATTATCGTTATAAATGAATGACGGCTTAAAAAAAACGCTTCACCAGTGTGTCTTCATTGGCATTCATGGCCATTCTTTTAGACTCGAGTTTGCTTTTAAAAAGGTCATTATGGGAACCTAATGTAATCCCCTTCATTATAAATCTGCTGATGGGATACTCAGAACGGCACCTGAAACCTGAAATGCTATCTCCACTTCGTTCCAGTGAGAACACGCTGCTGTATATCTGTCATTACTACTCAGACTCACAGCAGACATTTTATCTACACTGTGATATCTTTCAGGGCTATTTGGGGAGATGAAGGCCCTTGAACGAGACGCTGATAACGGTGACTTGCTTTGTACGTTGTGTCCCCTCACACAGAGCTTTAAAAAAAAAAAAAAAGGAGTCTGACTGGAAAACTCTTCCATTCAGAGAAACTTCAGCCCAGAACAGGATAAGACACCTCTTTAAAGATGAATGCTTTATTTCCTCCTGCTGGCATTTTGATTGGCTTTGAAAAGGCAAAATTTACTTTCTGCTCTTTTCCAAGGGGCATTAGGTCTTATATTATTGGGCTGCTGACAAAAGCTACTTTTTGCACTGCGAGGCTTAATGCCCAATTCTCATTCACTGTTGGGATCACATTTTTCCATTACACACACTGTGAACTCAGCATACTAGCCAGTAGGGCTTGCGAGGGTTAGATGTGCAATATCAACCAGCAATTTTTCTTTTGTTGAGTACAAACCCGAAGGCTCTTAAAATATGCAGAAACACTGAAACCACTTTCACCTTTGTTCCATTTCTTTTCATAGTTTTCAAAATACCGGGCAGTCAAAATTAAGCTCCTCTGGATTGTGCTTGAAGGCTTACTGAGGATTCTTTCAACACTCTGCTAACCCTCCTTCTGTAAGCCTTTCACTCTTTGTTGTTCTACTAGATATGTCTACATTTTAGGAGACCACAATTTAGGTAAGACTTAGCACCAACAAAGATTTCAAGCAGACAGAAAAATTTTACTCAGGTGTCATAATAAACATGAAAGTTTTGGTGATGGTGGGCAGGTGTGTCTAGTCAATACAAAGCTGCTCATATCTCTGATGGCTGCCCTTCAACAAGAAAGGGATGCAATGTCTCAGCAAAAAAATAAGACTTGCGAACAGCATGAGACGTCGTCGTCAAACTGGAACGGATGTGGCAGCCACTGTTAGCTTTTGTTTTACCCAAACTCCAAATATCCCTAACTTTCTGTGAACAGTGTATGCAAATAAGAGAAAGAAAAAAACCAATGACCACCCCTGGGTTGGTGTCTGGCGTTGGACAATAACTCTTGCGAGTGTGAATGGTCATTATCACCCAAGGTTTGCCTTTTACAGAATATCTCACCAATAACACAGACTGTGAGGAGCCGCCTCTCTTGAGATCTTTTCAGATCTTCGTTCCAAAATAAACGGGGAAAAAAATCCATTAAAAATCCAGATTTATGGATTACTTCGTTCTTTAACATCACAGAAGTTGACCGGTCAAAAGCATGGCCCATGTGTGCTTTCACAGCATGTTGCAGAGCCTGCAGAAACAAAGACTTACAACTCATTGCATTCAGCAAAGCAGAAGGAGAAACACGTTGCCTAATGATCCCCATGAAAGCTTTTCAAATTCGCTCAGTGCCTAAAATACAAACAAAGTTGTTTGCACTACTAGCATGCTATCTGCAGAGCAACAGATCAGCTGGACTCTGGTGGATCATAATGTGCCTCTGCTCTGTGCGCACTATGTACTTTATCTACTTCTGCAGCCATTTATCACTAGATCTCACAAGTTTGTGGGCATCTCCTGAGCATAGTAACAACTTCTACCCCCATTCTTTATCAGGGTAAAAAAAAAAAAAAAAAAAAAAAAACAAAGTGAAAAAAAACAAGCAAAAACAAAAACACATGGATCTCAGATTAAAGAATGACCTGAAAGGCACGGTTAGAGGTCAAGAGTCTGGGTTTGCTTAAGGGATTTGATCAGGGAAAGTTTCTGGTCAAATCCAAATATTAGTGTTCAACACAACAGAAGCCCCACTCTAGAACAAAGTTTAGTTATCAAAATCTCTAGCACAAACAATGCTGCAGAGGTTTTGAATAAACTGTTGAGGAAACCTAACCACGGCAGCACAGGGTGAAGTAACTGGATCACAAACCGTCAGCCTTTCCTCTGAGAGGTGATCTGTCAGTGTTACTTAGATTAAGTGTATAGCAAGAAGAGAAACCCAAGTGTAAAGGAGAGGTGACTGCGTCTGCTACATTATTTACAAGTGAAGAGCACCTAGAACAATTCTCAGTTTTACAAAAAAGTTACACTGGGTTTTCAGCTTTCCAAAAAATACTGCTGCGTATCAATCTTCATTTTACTTGGTGGGATTTGTTTGTGGTGCAAACGAAAGGATTTAAGTGAGAAAACCTGCAATAATTCATTGACGAACTAATAAACTTCAACCTCCTTTTCACAATCTCACTCATTCTGACTGTGCATGTCAACAGTGATCCTAAAACTGTCAGCACCCCATGTTTACAGAGCTGATGCCCACCACCTCTTTAGATAGGCAAACCAAAAAGAGAAACATTTGCAATTTTCAAAGGACATTCAGAGACACAATGGGGCGAAAAGGACACCAGGTAAATGCAAATGGCATTTAAATTTAAGGGCTTTATGCTGCTGCTGCTTCTGCTTTTATCTGAAATGAGGATGATGCATTAGGTTTGCCCTTCACTGACAGCACAATCAATTATGATGCATAGGAAAACAGCTTAATCTCAGTATTTTTTTATTTACAGCCCAGGAAAGTTCAAAATGTTGCTGCGTGTGTGGATTTAAGTGGAAACATGTCCAAATATAGGATGTGAATAAAATTAAAGATTTTCTAGGGCATTGATCTCGATATTCTGGCCAAGGAAACTGCTCAGGGAGGTTGAACTCAATATCGTTTTTATAGGAGAAAAATACTTCTGTCCTTTAGGACCGAATTAACATGTTTCATATCTTCCTACTATTAAGTAAAGAAAAACGAATAATTTCACAGTTTTATAACAGAGTCCGTTATGTGATGGAACTGATTAGAAGTGAATTGGTCTTACTTAAACTCTCCAGAGCTCTGAATGTGGGGCAAAACGGAGCCTTTTTGTTAAGAAAGTGGTCTTATGTGGATGAACGCCTGTAAAAATACAACAGTACATCCACAGAATGCATATTGGTACAACAGCCAGGAAAGTGCTGCATCTTCCCATTGCTGCATAGCAAGGAAGAGATGTGTTGTCAGAGGTGTTTGTGTGTTTGTCAGCAAGATAACGCAGAAGAAAAAAAAAAAAAAGCTTCAGTCCCGAACCACAT